TGAGCGGGCATTTGCGCTATGAAAATGTTATTTATCATTATTATTAATTGTGGACTCAAAAGGAAGATTTTTCAAAAGTATTGACAAATGTAACAAAAACTTCTCCTAAAAGTGGCGATACCACTTAGATTGTAACAAAGAGCAGTGCAAAAAAATTCTTCGAACAACTCAAGGTACAGAATGCGGCAATGCCCCAAGGGCCGAATGAAACTACGGTCAGCTGTAATGTAGAAAAGCACAAACTCAATAGAGCCAGGGCATGCCACCAGTGGTCATTTGCCTCAGAGAATTTACACAATGTTTCTTTCTAGTGTTCTTACTTTCTTTTTAAACTGTAGGCATTTGCAACCCCATCGACTCAATTTAGATCGTTTGGAAGGTGGGTGTCAACACTGCCTGCCGCGACTACCTTGGGCTGAGAGGGATACAACATCCCAGTAGAACACTGAGATACTCTATATAAATTCTCCTCATGTGAGAATCAAATTAGGACCTTCAGCATGTGACAGCAAAGCAACTACAATTCAACACATGATGCAGAAAGAGATGTACAACCAGAAATAATAACTTGTCTGCCATGTTCACTGACAAGACTAGAGCCCTACTTCTATAATAATCAGTCATCAATATCTCAAGCACATAAAATTGTACTAAGAACAGGATAGTCTGAAAAAAGAGATTAACACTAGGGTCTCAACATGTGACTCAGATTTCTTGTCACAACAAAAGTATGAATTAGAACTTGTCATCATATCTCTGTGCATAATCATCAAAATAGAGATTAAAGTTCACAGTTGAAAATCAAGACTCATTATTGGAAATCTGGCTCTCTAGATAATCCTGGAAGTCAGAGTTTAAAGTTCTAGTTACAGAACCGAAGGTTCATATAGTGAAAAACCCTCAAGTACCACACTAGTTTAGAACACAGTAGATTTTTTAGAAATTAAAAAAATCTTCGAACTACAAGAAACATGCTCTAAAATTTACAGAGGTCCATCAACCATTCAGCTATCATATAAAGTGACTTCCTTTGGTATTTACTTCGGTGCAGTGGCTCTGTCAGTTGTTTAATTACCTGCCGTAATGAGCATACGCTATGGCCTGGCGACTTAAGTTGCAGACGGTACTAAAAGCGTAAAAAATTATATTTCACATCAAACTTTTGCCTAACATAATTATAAGGAAACTATCAGTCCCCAGGGGCAACAGAATAACCGAAAACATTCATCAGTAGATTTGAAAAATGAAAATAGATTCCACTCTCCTACAAAATACCAAGAAAGGGACATATTACTTTCATAACCATTCAACAGCAACAGAGATGCAGCCTGCTGGAAGCAACAGGGAGGAGAAAATAACAGAATACTTGGACAGGTTTATGGAGAACATGATCACGTTACTACAATCCATTGAAAACTAAAACAGGAAAGAACTGCAATAAACATAGTGTGGTATTTTGGCCAGGAGCAGCCTTCTGGAAATTTGGGACAAAAGTAACTTTTTCCCACTAAAAAAAGCGAGGAAACATTAACAACAACTCCTACACTTGAGCTTAAATACTGGCACTGAAGTAAAAGGATGTCTAATTGGGACTTCCTAATGAATCTTGCAGTAATTTCTACAGACACTTTCTAAAAAGATCTACATAGAGACACCAGGGTCATATACTACGCACATTCCTATTGGTCTATTTTTTTTTTTGCGCCCTCATACCTGTGAGAAAACCTCAGGGAGTTGTCACGTTGGGCAGGAGTCTGCTCTTTGATGATGGCTTCCCCCAGTTTTTTCCCGCTGTAACAAGACCAGTCCCGACCCAAGACATCATGGGACCAACCAGGCATTGTCTCATGGCAGTAGCTTGTTTTCCCGACATACTTGGAAAAGGCGAAGTATTTCCGACCTGCTACAACCACTTCGAAGCCCTGAATCAATGCAAACAACGGAAATATGATAAACTATACAAACGATAGATCTGCACATGAATAAAGATATTCATTATATGCAGTTGAAAGGCTTAAGAGAAACTGAAACATTTTTAAGTTTCTTAATGGTAAGTAAAGTAACTAGATGGTAAAACAAGATGATCTGACTACTGCATTAATGCAATCTGTACCCAGACCCTTTATCCCTTCAAAAGTTTTAATTTGGAAGACCCTGAATATTCTTCATAAACGAACAGCATATACAGCTTGGTTTTTTTTTTGATGAATGTAATATCAAACCTGCTCTAACAGCTACTTGTCCGAGACAATCACTTGTTCAATAACCCTTTTCCACTTCTCCCTTTGCATTCCTCTAAAAATAATGGTACTGTCCAAGACAACCACTTTTCACCTCAAAAAATGGGTGGCCATCTTGGACAAGTTTGACTTTTTTTTAAAACACAAACACACAGAAACTAAGCGAAGAATGACCCAAGCAAACCATCAACTAGTTCACACTGTCCAGGAAAATATCATCCAGCTCTGCAAGCTTTGAAACTGTTATGAGCAAATGCCAAACCTAGATAGACACGACCACTCCTTATCGGCCAATTAAATGACTCACTTGCTGGTTAATTTGACTAACATCTCCTCGTTATTCTCTGACATAGGTTATAGATGTCTAGCTTGTCCGAAAAGAGAACACGCCACATAATGAAGTCAACACCTGGCCTTTTCGCATTAAGACACGAGACCACATTCTATGTAAATAGGCACCCATTGTGGACTGGCAAAACAATAGAAATAATGTGGATGCTATACATATACAGAAGTGGAGTTGACATTGATAAAAATGTTTTTGTTTTTTTATATACGTGAATGGAAAGGGGTATGATAGGCTTTAAATACCCCCTTTCAAAGCAATAAGATTGCCTGAGAGATGAGACACACAAGTCTCATACAGGAATGACCCAAGTAGAAGGAAAGCAGTAAAATTTTTTCAAACAACTTGTGTTCAGTGATGCCCCTACCCCACAGAGAGTGAGTGTTTGGCGGGGGGTCGGGAGGGAGATAGTAGAAAAAAACTATGAAACAAAAGGCGCAAATGAACGAAAAGCATCATAATCTTTCAGGTGATAAAGGAATGTATACTTGTATACTTTAGTTTGTGGGAATGAAATGTATATTCATATACTTAGGTAGGTGAAAAACATGTCTATGTGCATGTACAAGCACTTGTACCCAGTCAGAGGGAAACAGTAAAGCCATTTTAAAAAAGTAATATTCACACAGGTTAATTAGTTATTCCAGTATTAATATCCACACCTGATTATAAATGATTGTCCAGAATCCTTGATTGCCAAATTCATCCACAGCCACATCTGGATATGTGAGCTGAAACTTGGATTGCCGAACAGCTGTAGTTGGAAGCAGTATGGACAAAAGCATCAGAAAATATTCAGGAATACATCTGCATATGATATATATGATATGACATGATATGATAAGACAAGATATATGGTATGATATGATATGATATGATACAATATGATACGATATGATCAATACAAAAATATAGGAGCTTGTTCAGTTTAAAAGCTATTTTAATTTTGAAATTAATGGACTGATAATGCTACATGCTAAGAGAAACTTATGATGATAACAGCCACTTTTTAAAAAAATTCCAAATTAATTTAGAAAGAAAAGGAAAACAATTTGTAAGCAAAATCCTCAAAGAACAGAAATATTTTAAAAAGCATAAATATATATTATATCAATAACATTGACTGCACTTTCTTTCTCAGATTCATGGTCCGCCATATGTTTTTCTGCTCGCATCTCTCAAAAAAACAATAATCTCAATCTTCTCTCGCCATCCACCTGTTCATGAGTTCAACTTCTCTTTGTAATACTTGGTCTCCCTCTGCCTCTTTTGTTTTGTATTTTCAAAGAGGAGCGTTTTTATGTTCTATTCAAGTATCTTAAAAACTGCATTTGTCTGTTTCTAATTGATTGTGTTTAGGTCCTGTTAGTACAGGTATCTGTCTCACACTGGTTTATTTCAGCAGTCCCCTATTTGTCTGTTATTTGATCCTGTTCAGTACAAGAAATTCTCAACAGTTTTTTAAGAAACCGCATTTCTATTGCCTGTAATTTATTTTCAGTATCAGTTATAATTCTAATTGTTGAAAATAAATAAATGACCTTAGCAGTTGCGAGCGCCGTAAAACCTTATACTACTGAAGACCACAGATTTCTTATTACCTGATACACAATGTAAAAGCAATGTAACTGAAAAAGAAATGCGACTTTTATGCTTTTTCAATTTTCATTCACTTAATGTTTTCCCCTCGAAAAAAGTCAAGATTGTGAACCTGAAGTTCAGCTAACAAATTAGGCCTAACTTTGTGCAACAAGACACTTCCAATTGAGCAACAAACCTTTTGATAGAAAAAAGTGATGGAAGGGAAAAATCCAGTTTAAATTGCCCAAATAATTACTATTTTAACCATCCTTTTTCTAATTTTATTCTTACCCCCCTATCCTAACCCTGCTCATTAAAATTACCCATTCAGTTACCATCTACAGTTCAGTACTCTTTAGGCCACAACCTGAGGTTGCCAGATAAAGCAAGACATTTTTGCACTGCATTGTCATTGTTATCACAAACAGTGGAGGCCTGTCATGTGGCATTGTGATAACACGACATAGTTATCAGTGACGGCTATCCAAACAGCTCCACCTCATTGACTAGGGGAGCGACTTTTTGGAGATAAAAATTATCATAAGAGCAGTACCCTGATGCTGTATCAAAAAAAAAAGCAAAAAATTCGAAGTCTGTCATTTCTTTTTGTCATATTATTTAACAGCCTCTACAGAAACCAGCTGGTTACCCCCACCTCCTTCAATTGCAATTAAATAAAATTCTTTGTCTAATCATAGAGATGCCGTCATCAATGGCTGGATTCATCTGAATGAATATGTAAAGTAAAACCTTTTTGTATACACGGAGAGACGAAGTCTCTTACATGGAGAGAGAAGTCTTGCGACTGCTGTAATAGGCCCTATAGTGTTAGTTTTAGTTTCAGTAGAGGTTTTACGGCGCTCGCAACTGCATAAGGTCATGTGGGCGCGAGAAGATTAGAGGTGTTACACGAGAGTAACAAACACAAACAAGAAGGAGGGGAGATTATAAAGACGATAGACTTTTGATAGGAAAGAAGAAGCAAACCACACCAGAGCACCCGCCAACCAACCACTCACTAAGTGTTAAATTCCACAAAGTGTATCAAATGAGGAAGACAGTGTGCAAGGGAAAAACAACACAAAAAAGGGTCAGACGGGGAAGACAAGGTAAAATAAACGAATGGGTCGCCACCACTCACTCGGAGAATGAGTAACGCTTCTGTCTCAAGTTCACGTTCATGTCAATTGTTAAAGACTGGGTAAACAGGGACGGGTCACCTCACTTATGATTTACATTGTGTATGATGAGTTGTGGGCAGGGCTTTTAGGTTATGACGGCTCATGTCACGCAAACTTTCCTCACCAGCAGCTGAACATTTATAGTTGCAAAGTGGTCAATTTGGGTAAACAGCGAATTCGAAGCGGCTATTCGGATTCGAGTCTGAAAAGCCTCCTGTGGCTATTTGGACTCAAACTCAAAGGCGCGAAACTCCACAACTTCCAAATTGACTCTTCTGTTGTCATTTCAATTCTTTTAAAATTTGATTTGCATTTTATTTGTCCCCAAGAAATAACAATTTCAATGACTTTACTAACATTTTGAGCTGATACTCAGACTGTACAAGTAACAAGGATAGTTCTGTCTCTGTCGTTTTATGCAAGAAAAATTCAGAAATTATGCAAACTGTGCCCAAAAATGTGAAATTATACGATTCTGTTAATTTTAACGTAACAAAGAATGATAAAGGAAAATAATCAGAAATTAAGCAAAAATTTATTAAATTTTGCTAAATTATGCGGGGTGCATAAAACCACGGGGACAGATTGTTGCTTGTCTAACACTATCAGAATATGTATTGTTTTGCCCTGATTTTATTTGAACGAAGTGACTATTCGGACTCGAGTCCGAATATGAAAAAATGTTATTTGGACTCTGATTCTTGTCCAGCATGACATCACTTCCGACTTCCTGTGACTCGTGACTTCGGCTTCCTGTCCTGCCTCACTCGTGACTCGCCTCAGGCTGGGTAGAGACCGGGATCACTTAGGGAAAAATGGCGTTTTGTGCAGGAGCCGAGTTTTTATTTTATGATGAATTTGAGGCCGGCCTGAAAAGTTATAGTGCTTCTAATAAATGTTTATTTGTCAAGAGGTCACAAGAAGCAATTAAAGATAGCTCGTTAGCGTGTGTCGGGGTCGGATGGGCGGCCTGCATACGTGTGGCTGTGTGTGCATGTCGGGGAGGGGGGTGGGGGGCACTATCGGTACGGGCGTTGAACGTCGCATATGCGCGTCAGTCTTTTATCCCCCGGCAACTGATCATTATTACAATAATAAGCTAGTCTTGACGTAGATCTATGTAATGAATTGTGCGCTGGTCTATGGAATCAAAAGTTTCCGTATGCTCCGCTCTACACAGCAACACAACTTTTTCTTGGTAAACAATCGAGATGACACAGACTTGTGTATTTGAACGAATCGGTCTTTTTTTTTTTACACAGCTCATAATGTGCAGTGCCAGGTGGTCTGCTAATCTTCAATTTTACCTTTTTCTACAACAAAGAAAGTGGGAAACATGGGGGGGGGGGGGGGGGGCGTATCAATGAGGCGGCGGGCATTGGATCGGCAGATAAGGTGTGGGGGAAACTAAAAAATGGCGGAAAATTGGAAGCACTGAACTTTAGATCTATAGAACGAAGACACTTCCTTTTTTCGGGACCCGAGTCCGAATAATATTTTTTCATGGACTCGAGTCCGAATATGAAAAAATGTCATTCAGACTCGAGTCCGAATAAAGACGGTTTTGATGGTCAGGTAAAATATAAGCTGCTGAAAAAGCTTTTTAAACCACTGTTACTTTGAAGACTGAATTTAGTTCCCTTTGGTTTTAACTTTCTTCTTAATTTCTAACTGGACTTCCAATTGATCAAAGATTTTGTTTTTCCTCGTCAAATAAAGCGGGTTGCGACTACCTTTTTATAATCCTTTGTTGTGCTGAAACTTTGATTGAAAATTTTTCCCATTGCTCAGAACAGCCATTTCCCTCTTTGCTTTAGTCGGGTAGATCGAGCATTTCAGATTTTGCAGCCGTTGTTCACTTTCTATGTCACATATCTTTTCATAATTTGAGTCCAAAATTTTTGCCAGCAGATCGTAGAAACTGAGGAAGGCCAAGGTTGAATTGCCTGTCCGTGACACATTCGGTAGCCTGGACTCAGTGATTGCGAACGCGTGTTGGAGTTTGAGTCAGTCTGTGCGCTGCGAAGTATAGGGCTCCAGAATGGGGGGATTATTGATGTTTTTAAAGGTACAGTCGGGGGAGGGCTGCGCTGGGGTTGAAGGCAACACCGGATGACAAAAACTGATTTTGGAGTTCTGGACTGCCCGGTTACCGTGTGTACGTGACACTGAGACTAAGTGCCCGGTTGCAGATTACCGTTACGTAGGTATTGAGGCTACATGCCCAGTTACCGAGTACATGTTGACACTGAGACTACGTGCCCGGTTGCCGGTTACCGTGTACGTAGACCCTGAGCCTGAGGCTAGGTGCCCGGACCGTGCCGTGTACGTAGACGTCCAAAAATCTAATCGGACTCAGAGTCCGAACAGAGCTGGCCTACTTTTTTAATTCTATACAAAGCAGAGAAGTAGATCTATCTAGATCTAGAAGTAGAAGAAGGCCTATTATTAGGACCAGCTCGCAATCAAAGTCAAAGTATGAGTATGATCAAAAGTTTGAACAAAGACATTGTACTTACGTGTAAAAGACTTTGAACAGTTGACTGTTCGATCATTGTTCCCTGAGCCGATGCTGAAGATCCATGTTCCTCTTATGTCTTCGTAGGTACAATTCGCAGGTGTGTCCGCCACAGCATTGTTGAACAGGCCGGCAAACAAAAGCACACAAAATGTTGCTCTGCTCAGTGTCGGCAACATGATATGGTGACCAAACATAATGACAACAATCCTCAAGCAGAGATGGGATTTGATAGATCTATAGATCTAGATCTAAATTATTAGAAGTATCTTCAACCTAGATCTATATCAAGACTCTAGATCTTGATGTTCTCGGCAAGAGGAAAACAGGAAGGGTGTTAGCAATTTGACTTGCTGTTCCTGACTGAGACTGTGTAGCCTTTAGACTAGTCTACTGCAAGCAATGTATGTGTAGTCTAGCGCAATAGGCTACATCAACGACCTGATCTCGCGCTCGTACTAACCGTATGTGAGACCAACCACTCCGCCGGTCCTATTTATTCAACAGTATTGCCTGGCAAACCCTCCTGAAACGTTGAAGAAAATTATCATTTAAACAAAACAGGTCCATCCGCCAAAGGAAGAGTCGCCACTCGCCACCGTTATCTCGTCTTACAAGATTTCAAATCATGTGACAAGATCCGATGAGCCATGTGATATTGGATGCTATTGCAAAACCAAGTCATGTGATTCGGTCGGTTGTTATCATGTGATCACAGTTAAACAAAAACAGCTGCATGCAGGCATACTGGAATGACTTCTTCATGTACGACAGTTGGATCTTTAATGGCTCTTTGGATCTCGGTCACCACAACATAGTTTAAACTCGCTCCATCCTTACCTGCACTGAGTGTGCGAATTAAACTTTTATTGTTGACACGAACTGAAAAAGCGAGAGCTTTTTCCAAGACAATACATAATGACCGGGTATATAAGCCAGGTTTTATTGTGCGTACCGCATTTTTTCATTTTAAAAAATTATTACGGTAACAAAATGGACATAAACACCTGTAGATCTAAATTCTTTACATCGTTGACAATGCAAACTTCAAATCTTTGAAAATAGCCAGTATCACGAGCCAGGCTATAAATCGTCTTTCTTTTTATGACACGCGCACGTGCGCGTGTGTGTCTGTATATCGTGTGGTGGTGGTGGTGTCACGGTGTGTGTGCGTGTGTGTGTGTGTGTGCGTGCGTGTGTGGGTGCGTGTGTGTGTGTGTGTGCGTGCGTGTGTGTGTGTGTGTGTGTGTGGTAAATAAATGTTTTGTTGTTGGTTTTAACATTGATTTTTGCTGTTGTTGTTTGTTTTGTTTTGTTTTTTGTTGTTTTTTCGGGGGGGGGTGTATGTTTAATCTTTTAAATTTTAATTTTTTTTATTAGTTTGTGTGCGCTGAACAACATGAAAACAAAAAAAAAGAATCATAGGCCGGATGAGTGACCGTAGTGCCACGTACACACAGCGTGAGGTCGGCCAAAATGCCAAAACAGTATTTTAATATTGATTTTAATGTACATGTCAGTTTAGGCCTAGTCTTATTTATTAGTAAGAGTTTTATATGGCACTTACAACAGATAGATCATATTATGAGTGCTGGATGGAAGTTTTACTCGAGGGTAACATACGAAGTAAATGATGATATTATTGATAGATACCGGTATTTGATAGGAATTGAAGGAGGAAATAACACCAGGGCATCAACAACGACCTTCTTTATTTTTTTTAAATCAGCTGTTATCCATGTCCAAGTTAAATTATAAGTAGGATGTGTTCCCATCGGCCCTATAGTCAATATTATATGCATTAGGATGTCGTCCTGCCGTTATCTAAATTTCTGGTCTTCCTTTATAAGATCTTTTCCTGTTCTAGGTCTTTTTAATCCATGGTGTTGTCTTTCCCTCTGATGCTGTGACCAGCCCATATTTCCATTTTTGTTGTTGTTTTGGGGATATCTGTCGCTAATGTTTTCTCTCGTATTTTAAAAAAAAATTTTGTTTGATCTTGTTGTGTTCTTATGCTCAGCATCCTAGTTCATACTCCATTGCTCTCTGTGTAGTCCTAACTTTATTCATAATAGCACACATTTCTGGTTACTGGCCAAATTTGGCACCATTGGAACAATACACTTTTAAAAATTGTTGTTGTTGTTGTTGTTGTTGTTGCTTTTTGTTGTTGTTTTCTCAGTTTTATCTGCAGATTTGGATCTTTACAGGGTTGTTGTGTTAAGACGACGGTTTGCACAGTAATAGGGCCAGCGATGTATTCTCGAATGTTTGTCAGCTTCGATTTGGCTCACTGGAATGCATCAACTTCCATGGGTTCCCTGATCCAATATAGCCTGGGCAACTCAGCCGGAAAAAAATCTGATGATTTAAAAGTGACTGTCTGTTATCCCATTGCTGTCAACAGTCTTGGAGAAGCCACAGGTTCGTGTCCGGATGGTCTTCAAAAGTTCAAACTGTTTTTATTCTTCAAAGAACAATTTGGGGAATTAAAAAAAAAGAATGTACATAGCTTATTGCTGTTAGAAGTTATCAAAGATGTGTGTGTGTGTGTGTGTGTGTG